TATTTTTAGTAGAGACGGGGTTTCACCATGTTGACCAGGATGGTCTTGATCTCTTGACCTCGTGATCCACCCGCCTCGGCCTCCCAAAGTGCTGGGATTACAGGCTTGAGCCACCGCGCCCGGGCTCCAAAGTTTTTCTACCTCTTCTTTGTCTTCTTCAGTTTTATCATCTGTCTTCTGCTCTTCATACATTAAATCAGTGTAGTTGATTTAAGATTAATCCTTGGATGAAGTAATTTTATAAAATTATTTCATATTAAGAAATTATGGTCAGCCGTGATGGGTCGTGCCTGTAATCTCAGCACTTTGGGAGCCGAGGCAGGGGAATTGCTTGAACCCAAGAAGTGGTGGTTGCAGTGAGCCGAGGTCACGCCACTGTGCTCTGGCCTGGCGACAGAGCAAGACTCTGTGAAGAAAAAAAAAAAAAAAAAAAGAAAAAAGAAAGAAATTATACACTGGTGGGCAAAATGTCTCCAAATGGAACTAGTACATTAAGAGAAAGGGTCGAGGGGAACCAAAATCGATGTCAGTGTAATGTGTCCGTGGGGCATTTCTTAGGCCTGCCTAATGACACAGGATTTTTCTCAGTGCTGCTTCACCAACTGGAAATCTCCCACAGGCAGCACTCCCGCCTGGGCCTCACTGGGCTCCGAGCTGACCACTGGACTTGTTCTGCCCACTCAGCCTGACAGGCTGTACTCAGCTACCACCCCAGATACCATGCCACCACAGGCATGCCAGGCATGGAGCGGGGAGGGGTGTGTGAGTGAGTGAATGTGGGGTCCAGCCACAAGACACAGCCAGGTGCGCCAGCTGCTGCGTTGGGGTGGGCAGTTTTAGGTGCCAGCACAGGTGCTGGTTCCTTGTGTCGTGGCAGCTGGACCAGACATATTGAAAGAAGCTTCTGCCTTGGGTGCTGGTGTCTGGACCAGGGGAACATGGTGACACCCAGAAAACTTGGAGACACCAGCAACCACAGAGCCCCAAAGGGGTGTTACAGCATGTCATTGTTTGTTCCCATAGTTCAGCAAACAAGGGTGTGTCAGAGCTCTGGCTCGGGGAGTCCCAAGGTCTGGGCCTCCAGAAGAGGTGCAGCTCTTCTCTCTTTCTCACCATATGCAGCACAGCCAACGGGGCAAGGGGTGGGCAGGAATGTGTTTTAGCTCCTCCATATTACAGCTTATTCAGTCCTACTGCCCTACTCTGGCCCGCAGCTCTTGGGCTGGCCTGGCCCCACTGCTGCTTCCTGTCACCTTAGGTGGCCACCTGGTATCAGTGGAGGGTGGGAGGGCTACAGTGTTACAGCTCTTTTTGCACCTGCTGTTCAGTGGATCCCAGCTTCTTGTCCTACATCAAGAACAATGAGGTTATCTGCACAACTGGAGAGTGAGCAAGGTGGAGACAAGTTTTATTGAGTGATAGAACATCTCTCAGTGGAGAGGGGACCTGTAGTGGGTAGTCCCCAGGTGTGGCTGAATCTGGAGTTTTTATAGGATCAGAATGGGGGAGGTGCAGGCTGTAGGTAGCCTTGGAAAAGGCAACATTTTATTGCTTAAAAAGCATTATTCAGGCTGGGCCCAATGGCTCATCCCTGTAATCCCAGCACTTGGGAAGGCTGAGGTGAACAGACTAACCTGGCCAACCATGGCCAACATGTCCATCTCTACTAAAAATACAAAACTTAGCCAGCCTTGGTCGCCATGACTGTAATCCCAGCTACACAGGAAGCTAAGGCAGTAGAATCATCTGAGCCCAGGAGGCGGAGGTTGCAGTGAGCCAAGATCGCACCATGGCACTCCAGCCTGGGGGACAGAGCCAGACTCCATCCCCCTCAAAAAAGAAAAAAAAAAAAGGAATTATTCAGAAAGAACCAATCAGGAAAGAACATGCAGACAGGAATAGAAGTTCTCACTCTGGTCACAGACTCCATCCAGGACCAGCAGCCCAGTTTTCAGGCTTCAGGCTATTTTTGTCTTGAAGGTTGGGTTTCACCGGGGACCCGCCCCTGTCTGCCTGGGAATTTTTTTGCCTGCTGCCACTATCACTAATATGAGCTGAAACATAGAAAAGGCGACTAATGGAATCATATCTTCTATTTCTCAATTATCTTGATTCACCAGGATCCATCTTTTCTGTAAAACTAATCCCTAATGCAAGTTGCTTAAAGCAGTGAGATATCTATATCTCAGAGCCATATATTCAAAATGTAATTGTTATAAAGAGTACAAAAGGCTCAAATTGCCAGCAAACTACAAGGGTAATTGTGTTAAAGAAAAATTGATCTATGTACTCACAGCACTGAAGACTGTCATAACCTCCTTGTTGCAGACTAAGTGGATTATTTATTTGTGATAATGGGCACATATGCTCATTAACATGCTGTCATAAACAGCTGTGTCAAATGTATTATGTGTTCTGTGACATAAATAAGGCACGCAACATGAGGTTGTGTTTAAAATATAGGCCCAGGAAGAACAAAAAAGCAATAAATGCTTTCTAATATAGTTGCCTGGTCTTGAATTCCAAATTTATTTCTACTTTATCAATGCTGCTTATATGGAAATTGTGGGTATTATTCTAGTCAAATATCTTGAAACTCAAGGACATTAGAACTTCTTCCTGCTTTCTCTTTCTTAGTGTTTCTTAAGCCAGGTTTGCTAGCTTGTGTTTCTTTTCTGGTGGAGGAAGATATCATGCAGACACGGGAAGGTATTTTCATCAGAATCAGTCTGCATTTCAGCATGCTTAGGGCAGGGTTCATTTGACAGATGCTTTCTACCCAATCTTGTTCTAAAAGTCTCCAAACTAGATGTTGAACTTAGAGATCATCTAGTTCAACTACTTAATTTTTGCAGATGAGGGAACTGAGTTTCAGAGGACTTAAAAGACCTTTCTGAGTCATGAATTTTGAAGTGATAAAGCCAGGACCTAGGGCTAGATATTCAGACACCCAATTCAATGTGCTTTCTGCTAGAAGAACAGGATGTGCTATAATTGGGTTGGCTATGCCAAAAGGACCCGTGGGGAGAAGGAGCTTATTTGAAAATAAAGACACCAGGCTGCTGTCATAGGGGATCTTTATCAATATCATCTATAGGAGATTTAAGTGGTCACCATTATTTTACAATTTATGTTAATTCAAGCAAAGTTCTCAAAGCTTTTTTGAGTGAGTGGCCAAGGTGAAAGGCATGAATATATGACAGTGAGTGACACAAGACATACTTGGGCAAAGTAACAGACTTCAAACATGAGTTTTAGAAATTGAGTGTGCAGGAATGAAGTAAACAAAACCAGTAAGAAACCTGAGAAGCTATTCTGCTTTATCTTCACTGGAAAATGGGGTGTACAAAGATAGAAATAGCTCTGTCCATTGGAATTGGTATGAGTTAACCCCTTATGAGAATATCGATTACATGCAATTTAGATGTCTGCCTTTTAAATGACAGAAGATTGGAAAGATTTTACAAAGTACAACTAAAAGTGTTCTCATCACAGAGAAATTAAGGAAGCTAATGAAGTTGAGGTTGCTATCCTGAAAAATAAATGAAGGCTAAAACATAACTTCGGGGGCATTTTTTAAGAAATGAAATGCTGCTTCAAACAAATAAAGGGCTCTTAAAGAAAATATCCATCTCTTCTGCATTTTCACACAAGATGTTTCAGGAGAAAATGGGATTAAACATCAGCAAGAAAATTTAGTTAGACTCTTAAAGTCATTAAATATTGAAAACAAGATATCAAGGGACATTGTAGAATCTCTTGCCCCGAAGATTGTTCAAAATAAAATTGAAAGTAATTTGACTTGAATGATTTAAGTGTGCACCTGTCTGAGCAAATGGTGGACTCCGTGACCTCCTGAAACCTTGTCAAGGTCTTTGACTCACATTCTGAGTATTCCGGCAAATGCTAAACTGCCAGCTTTGAAAACAGTGTACTTTAACTAATGATACTTGCTCCATCCCCTCAAGATTCTTAAATGACTTTCTATTACCCCTGTTGATTCTTTATGATCATTTATGTTTATGGAAAAATTCAACTGTAATATTTATTTAGATTTCCAAGCCCATGAGAAACATTTGGATGAAAATTAAGACACTTCAGGGATTTGTGATTTTAGGTAGTAGCTTGATCGACTTGCTTCTGCAAGTGAGATTTACCTATTTTAAAACCCATCTGAGCTTTGTTCTAAATAACTTTGCCCGTGCTGTTTAAAGTTGACTTTTATTCTTATAGAATACATTGTCTGACTGGATTTTTAAAAAAAATTTCAATTGTTGCCATAATCAGAATGAAGAGATGGAAATAGTCCCCCTCAAAAATCTTAGCTACCACACTAATAATTATGACTACTTTAAAATATCCAGTTTTATTTTGAAAATATTAGTTTTTTCTGTCTGAATTTTCATGTACTGATTGATATGTGCTAATAGGCAAGCCTGGATTTAGATGAATTTGGAATATCTCATTATATTAAATTTTGGAGCCAATTGTTTCCTTAATTATGGTTACCTCATCTGGGTACATTTTTACTTATGTAACATAATATCCTAGATTTTCCTTTTTATTTATTCTTGGACATTTTTGAAAGCCTTCAAGTTTTTTGAAAGGCTTTGTAAAGAAAAGACAGGGGCCGGGCGCGGTGGCTCAAGCCTGTAATCCCAGCACTTTGGGAGGCCGAGGCAGGTGGATCACGAGGTCAAGAGATCGAGACTATCCTGGTCAACATGGTGAAACCCCGTCTCTACTAAAAATACAAAAAATGAGCTGGGCATGGTGGCACATGCCTGTAATCCCAGGTACTCAGGAGGCTGAGGCAGGAGAATTGCCTGAACCCAGGAGACGGAGGTTGCAGTGAGCCGAGGTCGCGCCATTGCACTCCAGCCTGGGTAACAAGAGTGAGACTGTGTCTCAAAAAAAAAAAAAAAAAGAAAAGACAGGGAATCTAAGCCTGAGATTCATTTGAATACATGAACGTATTTCCCTCTGCTCTCTTGTTCCAGGTTTTCAAATTAAAGCTTTCACAGCACTGCGCTTCCTCTCAGAACCTTCTGATGCCATCACAATGCGAGGAGGAAATGTCCTCCTGGACTGCTCTGCAGAGTCTGACCAAGGAGTTCCAGTGATCAAGTGGAAGAAAGATGGCATCCATCTAGCCTTGGGAATGGACGAAAGGAAGCAGCAACTTTCAAATGGGTCTCTGTTGATACAAAACATACTTCATTCCAGACACCACAAGCCAGATGAGGGACTTTACCAATGTGAGGCATCTTTAGGAGATTCCGGGTCAATTATTAGTCGGACAGCAAAAGTTGCAGTAGCAGGTAGGTGGATTCTTCTTTCTCTTTCTCCTCTTCTTTCCTCTCTTCTTCTTATTCTCTTTTGGAAATAATAAAATAATTTTTGAAGAAATAATGTACGTTTTTAAAATAGTTTAAATTTTAATTTGACCAATAATTATATATTTTTATGAGGTACAATGTGATGTTTTGATGTATGTATACATCATGGAGTGATTATATCAAGCTAATTAACACATCTATCACCACACATTTACCTCTTTTCTCCGGTGAGAACACTTAAAATCTATTCTTTTAGCAATTTTGATATATACTATGCTGTACAGTAGATATTAAAAGCTTATTTCTCCTCTCTAACTGAAACCTTTTACCCTTTAACAAACATATTTCCATTCCCTACCATGTCCCATCCTCCCAAGCCTCTGGGAGGCTCTCTACTTCTGTGAATTTGACTTTTGGTAATAGATTCTACCTGTAAGTGAGGTAATACAATACTTTTCTTTCAGTATCTGGTGTATTTCCCTTAGCATAGTATCCCCTAGGTCCATCTGTGTTATCACAAATAACAGACTGTAGTCCTTTTTAAGGCTGAATAATATTGCATTGTGTGTCTGTGTATGTGTGTGTGCAGATATAGATATAGATAGATAGATAGATAGATAGATAGATAGATAGATAGATGTGATAATATATATCACATTTTCTTTACCCATTCACCCATTAATGATTGATTCCATATATGGGCTATTATGAATAATGCTGCAATTAACATGGAGGGTAGATATCTCTTATACATCTTCATTTCAATTCCTATGGATATATATCTGTCAGTGGGATGGCTGCATCATATGGTAATTCCAATTCTAGTTTTTTGAGAAAGCTACATAACCATTTTTCATAATGGCTAATTTTCACTTTCATCAACAATGCATGTTTTTAAGAAAAAGGAAACATTTAAAGAGATTCATGTTTATTCTCTCATTGTTTTGACAGACCTTTTTCCTTAAATTAGCTTAGAAAACAGTCATATGGCAGCATAAATTTATGAGATTTTTTTTTAAGCAAAACTGTTTAAAGTTGGCTTACCACTTATGTCTGCAGAAGAACCTCTCCTTAATAGAAACATATTAGAAAAAATAATTTCCTAATTTTATTTTATAGTTTTATTAAATGCTAAACTTTTGCAGAGTCATTTTTTTTGGTTGGGTCTTAAAAACAGTGAATTTTATTTTAATTATAGTGGTATGGCCTACAACATCTATATCTCAAGAGAGAAATAAAAATTCCCTCTAGTGCTTCAAATTTCATGATGTTTAGTAACATGTTGGATCAACAGATGAGTAATAAGATGAACAGTGTTTCTTTTCATCTGGATACATTGAAGTCATATAGACCCTGACAAAATGGTACTGACCATTCTGGAATCCATGATATTGCTATTTCTACCCCATTCTTCTGGTTAGAAGGCAGCTTATAATTATTTCTGTTGGCTCCGGAAATGTTAGACCTACCATGGTGAAGAAAAAGTTTTTTTACTTGTTTCTATAATGATTTGACCAAAAGCTGTTTGTTTGTTTTTTTTAATTTTTGTATTGATCATAAAGCAAGGCAAGCAGATCCAACCTGAAATCAATTTAAGCTATGAATGGGTAAGCAGATTTGCAGGCTTGCTCTCAACTAATCTTCAGTCCTCAGTAAAAACAAAATTGAATCATAAGCAGTGTAGTCATTTGTTACGGGTTTTTTCCCCCAGGTGCTACTTAGTCTAGTCTCAACTTGGAAGACGGATAAGAATGATAACTCGTTTTCACTAATAACAGGACAATTGGGCAGAATCACCACTCCCTCATGCACTCCTAGTGAGGGTTTGAGAAAGTTGAAATCTGAAAGAGGTGATTTTGTCAAGTGGTGCTGTAAAGAATTACAGCTCATAGATATGCAATTAGCCTCCATATCTAGCTTCAGACCACTCCTTGTCTCCACTAAGAATTCTGTAGACTGAATGTTTTATCTCCCTAAAATGTGTATATTGAAATTCTAACCCCCCATGTGATAGTATTGGGAGGTGGAGCCTTTGGGAAATAATTAGATCACGAGGGTGGAGCCCTCATGAATGTGATTAGTGCCCTTATAAAAGGAAACACAGAACACTCTTGCTCTTTTCACCACGTGAGGATACAATGAGAAGTCTGTAATCTGCAACATAGAAGAGGACTCTCATCAGAAATCAATCATACTGGCACCCTGCTCTCAAGTTTCCAGCCTCCAGAACTTTGAGAAATCAAAGTTTGTTATATACAGGTCACTCAGTCCACAGCGCTTTGTGGTATCCACCCAAAGTTAAACCAGATTTTACCTAAGGTAGGGTGGCTAACTATTATTAGTTTCTCTGGACTCACCTGGTTTTAGCACTTGACAGTCCCATAACCTGGGAAGCCACCTCAGTGCCATGTAAAACTAGGATGGTGGGTCACTGTACCTCGAGGTGCCCCTGGTCTGCTTTGGCAATGACAGACTGAGGTGCAGATGCAGAAAATCCCCTCTACTCAGGAGACAGGCCATGTGACATCCTGATCATGAAAATCAAGGCTACAAGGTAACTGGAGCCTTTGAGTGATGGGTGTCTGAAATTTGATTGATGAGCATGAAGTGTAGAGAGAACTGAATGTTGATGTTAATTATGATTGATTAAGAGAAAGAAGTGGAATAAATGCTGCATATTAGGCAAAAGTCGCTTTCTCAGAATGTTCCAAATGAAGTGAAAGGGGGACAATTTGACTTTCTGTCACTTGAGAATTTCTGGCCTCATAGATCCCACCCATCAGTTGTCCCCAAGGCCAGAGGAGCTCTGCTGATTTGAATGAAGCAGGCTGGCATTTTGATGCCTTATTACGAAAGGTGGCTGCCTATGTACTGCTAATGAAAATGGCCTGTTACATTGCAGTTTCAGTCTTCCCACAATCTACATTCACTTTTACATGTTCTGTCTTTCAGTAGTGAAATGAAGAACAATTCCTTCTCTGTGAGATATTAAAATACAGTGGCTGGGACTTTAGTATTCCGTACAAGGATAGGCTCACGGATTCAGTCACTGAATTACAATCTCATATTAGATTGTATCATTTCAAGGCAATAAGGCTGTTCCCAGCATTTTAAACACTTACCATGCTGTTTGGCAACACAGAATACATCAATATTATATCTGCTGAGGTTAAGATTGCCAAACCACTAGAATTCACATGGGGCATATATCTTCCCAGTAATAAAGACCATAGACCTGATTTAATCTCATTTTTAAAGCATTAGCAGTCAATAAAGCAGTCACCACTAAATGGTAACAGTAGGCTTTGCTTGGGTAAAATAAAAAAAAATGTTTTGTACTCTCAGGTGCTATATAGAGCCCGTATTAAATAATGTCCCTCTTCCATTTTTGCTTTCTCAAAGTGTCTTTTGATAAAAAGAAGTGTAGCAAATGAAATCTGTCTTTAATCAGTCAGCACATTTCATGCAGTGATCTTGCCATGCACCATTCATCCTATCCTTCTAGGAGCTTTTCAAGTGCTCTTTAAGCCTTGAGTGCACCCTTGGCTGGAGAGGGAAGGAGAGTGGGAAAGATAAACGAAGAGCTATCATTCCATCCAACCTTTTGTTAAAAGTAGCAGGCTACTTACTATCAGTATTTCTAGTCATTTTGAGTTCTATTGTAAAGAATGCCTAGGTTATTAAATCTTCATTTGAAAGCAACTTCACCAGACTAGCTGAAATGTGGGAATTTTATTTTTATCCAATTAGCTCTAATATAAAATGCTGCAGTATTTCTGTGCCATGTATACTTCTATTTAGTCCTCTAGATTGAGAACAGCTGACAAAGGGAAGCAGCGCTGAACTCATCTGTGGGGCTTTCCTACTATCCCCTCTGCTGTGTATCTAGCAAAGTATGTCATGTTAATAGTAGACATTTGCCTTACCAATGAAGACATGGGGCTTTATGCCATATAGAGAGAGCTTTCTGCTGTTGTCCTCCTACTGTCCACCTCTCCTTCTCTCCTTCATCTTCCTCTACTCCTCCTCCTCCTTCACTGGACTTCAGCAGATTAAACTCGCCCATATGTGCCTATATAAACATATTCTTGATAAACTGAGTTGGAATATTATATCTCAGTAGTCTACAAATTAATTAACTATTGAAAAGTTTGTGATTAGAAAATTGATCGTTTGGGAATATTTAAGCACCACTTAAAAAGGAAAAAGCATAAGCTATTTCTTCATTTCTTCCCTAACTCTTACCATCAAAATGAACTTGCATCTGGCCAAGCACGTCTTCCCTACTCTAGATGTTTCCAGCTAGCTGAGCCTCTGGATTTTCTTCTGTTCAACAGACATAATAATAACCTACGTCCTACAGCCGTGGTAGTTTTCAAACAACATCTATGATGTCAAGCTCTAGTGCAGAGTAGATTCTTATTCAACAACAGCAATAATAAAATAGACCTAACAAAGATTGTTATTGTGTTATTATAATAATAATTATTGGAAATGAACAACTTTCAATATTCCCATGTGATGATGCAAAATATTTTCTTCAGGGGGATGAAAAATAGCCAACAAAACCTGAGACATACATGTTGTAAACTTGGATCAGATATCTGCATTTGCAATCTGTGAAAACAAACGGGCAAGCCTGAATTGAGTTTTCAAAAAGCTAAATCCACAGTTTCTTTTTATTTTTTGGCAAGCAGTGCCCAAATCCCTGAGACAGGCTAAAAGATTCATTTTTGACCAGTGGATCTACTATTATGTTAATGCAATCAATAGTAGATTGGACCAGGTGTTTGAGATTGAGCGACCTGGCAGTCATTTTAGAAAAAGGTACAGGGCACTCCTCTGAGCCTTCTTCATGGCTTTTCAACTGAAAAAGATTCGCTGAAGCTGGTTCATGGGAGTTCACTTGGTCTTGACTTGGAGTTGAACATAAGTGGTCCCCTCCTGGGGATGAGGGATTAATTCCAACATGGAAGAAGGCT